TCCCCTTCACATCACAACATGTTCCCCTTCACATCACAACATGTTCCCCTTCACATCACAACATGTTCCCCTTCACATCACAACATGTTCCCCTTCACATCACAACATGTTCCCCTTCACATCACAACATGTTCCCCTTCACATCACAACATGTTCCCCTTCACATCACAACATGTTCCCCTTCACATCACAACATGTTCCCCTTCACATCACAACATGTTCCCCTTCACATCACAACATGTTCCCCTTCACATCACAACATGTTCCCCTTCACATCACAACATGTTCCCCTTCACATCACAACATGTTCCCCTTCACATCACAACATGTTCCCCTTCACATCACAACATGTTCCCCTTCACATCACAACATGTTCCCCTTCACATCACAACATGTTCCCCTTCACATCACAACATGTTCCCCTTCACATCACAACATGTTCCCCTTCACAATCACAACATGTTCCCCTTCACATCACAACATGTTCCCCTTCACATCACAACATGTTCCCCTTCACATCACAACATGTTCCCCTTCACATCACAACATGTTCCCCTTCACATCACAACATGTTCCCCTTCACATCACAACATGTTCCCCTTCACATCACAACATGTTCCCCTTCACATCACAACATGTTCCCCTTCACATCACAACATGTTCCCCTTCACATCACAACATGTTCCCCTTCACATCACAACATGTTCCCCTTCACATCACAACATGTTCCCCTTCACATCACAACATGTTCCCCTTCACATCACAACATGTTCCCCTTCACATCACAACATGTTCCCCTTCACATCACAACATGTTCCCCTTCACATCACAACATGTTCCCCTTCACATCACAACATGTTCCCCTTCACATCACAACATGTTCCCCTTCACATCACAACATGTTCCCCTTCACATCACAACATGTTCCCCTTCACATCACAACATGTTCCCCTTCACATCACAACATGTTCCCCTTCACATCACAACATGTTCCCCTTCACATCACAACATGTTCCCCTTCACATCACAACATGTTCCCCTTCACATCACAACATGTTCCCCTTCACATCACAACATGTTCCCCTTCACATCACAACATGTTCCCCTTCACATCACAACATGTTCCCCTTCACATCACAACATGTTCCCCTTCACATCACAACATGTTCCCCTTCACATCACAACATGTTCCCCTTCACATCACAACATGTTCCCCTTCACATCACAACATGTTCCCCTTCACATCACAACATGTTCCCCTTCACATCACAACATGTTCCCCTTCACATCACAACATGTTCCCCTTCACATCACAACATGTTCCCCTTCACATCACAACATGTTCCCCTTCACATCACAACATGTTCCCCTTCACATCACAACATGTTCCCCTTCACATCACAACATGTTCCCCTTCACATCACAACATGTTCCCCTTCACATCACAACATGTTCCCCTTCACATCACAACATGTTCCCCTTCACATCACAACATGTTCCCCTTCACATCACAACATGTTCCCCTTCACATCACAACATGTTCCCCTTCACATCACAACATGTTCCCCTTCACATCACAACATGTTCCCCTTCACATCACAACATGTTCCCCTTCACATCACAACATGTTCCCCTTCACATCACAACATGTTCCCCTTCACATCACAACATGTTCCCCTTCACATCACAACATGTTCCCCTTCACATCACAACATGTTCCCCTTCACATCACAACATGTTCCCCTTCACATCACAACATGTTCCCCTTCACATCACAACATGTTCCCCTTCACATCACAACATGTTCCCCTTCACATCACAACATGTTCCCCTTCACATCACAACATGTTCCCCTTCACATCACAACATGTTCCCCTTCACATCACAACATGTTCCCCTTCACATCACAACATGTTCCCCTTCACATCACAACATGTTCCCCTTCACATCACAACATGTTCCCCTTCACATCACAACATGTTCCCCTTCACATCACAACATGTTCCCCTTCACATCACAACATGTTCCCCTTCACATCACAACATGTTCCCCTTCACATCACAACATGTTCCCCTTCACATCACAACATGTTCCCCTTCACATCACAACATGTTCCCCTTCACATCACAACATGTTCCCCTTCACATCACAACATGTTCCCCTTCACATCACAACATGTTCCCCTTCACATCACAACATGTTCCCCTTCACATCACAACATGTTCCCCTTCACATCACAACATGTTCCCCTTCACATCACAACATGTTCCCCTTCACATCACAACATGTTCCCCTTCACATCACAACATGTTCCCCTTCACATCACAACATGTTCCCCTTCACATCACAACATGTTCCCCTTCACATCACAACATGTTCCCCTTCACATCACAACATGTTCCCCTTCACATCACAACATGTTCCCCTTCACATCACAACATGTTCCCCTTCACATCACAACATGTTCCCCTTCACATCACAACATGTTCCCCTTCACATCACAACATGTTCCCCTTCACATCACAACATGTTCCCCTTCACATCACAACATGTTCCCCTTCACATCACAACATGTTCCCCTTCACATCACAACATGTTCCCCTTCACATCACAACATGTTCCCCTTCACATCACAACATGTTCCCCTTCACATCACAACATGTTCCCCTTCACATCACAACATGTTCCCCTTCACATCACAACATGTTCCCCTTCACATCACAACATGTTCCCCTTCACATCACAACATGTTCCCCTTCACATCACAACATGTTCCCCTTCACATCACAACATGTTCCCCTTCACATCACAACATGTTCCCCTTCACATCACAACATGTTCCCCTTCACATCACAACATGTTCCCCTTCACATCACAACATGTTCCCCTTCACATCACAACATGTTCCCCTTCACATCACAACATGTTCCCCTTCACATCACAACATGTTCCCCTTCACATCACAACATGTTCCCCTTCACATCACAACATGTTCCCCTTCACATCACAACATGTTCCCCTTCACATCACAACATGTTCCCCTTCACATCACAACATGTTCCCCTTCACATCACAACATGTTCCCCTTCACATCACAACATGTTCCCCTTCACATCACAACATGTTCCCCTTCACATCACAACATGTTCCCCTTCACATCACAACATGTTCCCCTTCACATCACAACATGTTCCCCTTCACATCACAACATGTTCCCCTTCACATCACAACATGTTCCCCTTCACATCACAACATGTTCCCCTTCACATCACAACATGTTCCCCTTCACATCACAACATGTTCCCCTTCACATCACAACATGTTCCCCTTCACATCACAACATGTTCCCCTTCACATCACAACATGTTCCCCTTCACATCACAACATGTTCCCCTTCACATCACAACATGTTCCCCTTCACATCACAACATGTTCCCCTTCACATCACAACATGTTCCCCTTCACATCACAACATGTTCCCCTTCACATCACAACATGTTCCCCTTCACATCACAACATGTTCCCCTTCACATCACAACATGTTCCCCTTCACATCACAACATGTTCCCCTTCACATCACAACATGTTCCCCTTCACATCACAACATGTTCCCCTTCACATCACAACATGTTCCCCTTCACATCACAACATGTTCCCCTTCACATCACAACATGTTCCCCTTCACATCACAACATGTTCCCCTTCACATCACAACATGTTCCCCTTCACATCACAACATGTTCCCCTTCACATCACAACATGTTCCCCTTCACATCACAACATGTTCCCCTTCACATCACAACATGTTCCCCTTCACATCACAACATGTTCCCCTTCACATCACAACATGTTCCCCTTCACATCACAACATGTTCCCCTTCACATCACAACATGTTCCCCTTCACATCACAACATGTTCCCCTTCACATCACAACATGTTCCCCTTCACATCACAACATGTTCCCCTTCACATCACAACATGTTCCCCTTCACATCACAACATGTTCCCCTTCACATCACAACATGTTCCCCTTCACATCACAACATGTTCCCCTTCACATCACAACATGTTCCCCTTCACATCACAACATGTTCCCCTTCACATCACAACATGTTCCCCTTCACATCACAACATGTTCCCCTTCACATCACAACATGTTCCCCTTCACATCACAACATGTTCCCCTTCACATCACAACATGTTCCCCTTCACATCACAACATGTTCCCCTTCACATCACAACATGTTCCCCTTCACATCACAACATGTTCCCCTTCACATCACAACATGTTCCCCTTCACATCACAACATGTTCCCCTTCACATCACAACATGTTCCCCTTCACATCACAACATGTTCCCCTTCACATCACAACATGTTCCCCTTCACATCACAACATGTTCCCCTTCACATCACAACATGTTCCCCTTCACATCACAACATGTTCCCCTTCACATCACAACATGTTCCCCTTCACATCACAACATGTTCCCCTTCACATCACAACATGTTCCCCTTCACATCACAACATGTTCCCCTTCACATCACAACATGTTCCCCTTCACATCACAACATGTTCCCCTTCACATCACAACATGTTCCCCTTCACATCACAACATGTTCCCCTTCACATCACAACATGTTCCCCTTCACATCACAACATGTTCCCCTTCACATCACAACATGTTCCCCTTCACATCACAACATGTTCCCCTTCACATCACAACATGTTCCCCTTCACATCACAACATGTTCCCCTTCACATCACAACATGTTCCCCTTCACATCACAACATGTTCCCCTTCACAACATCTTTCCCCTTTGAGCTCCCCGATTCCCCCCCCCTTGTCCTTCTTTTGGATGCGATGACTCTCCTCTCTCTAAGGAGAGCAGCGCCCCATGTCCTGGTTAAGAAAAAATGGATTTGAACCGCTGCAAGCCTACTAAGAGTCTAGATCGCTACTAATTCTATTCTTCCTCTCTAAGGGGAGCAGCGCCCCATGTCCTGGCTAGCACGGTTGGCAGTGGCCATGCATGTGGCTCAAGCACTCGACCTGAGCATCTCAGTTGGGAGTGCATGCACAGTCACACTCCTCCCCACCGCATTCACATTCCCCTCACCGCATTCACACTCCTCCCCACCGCATTCAAATCCTTCCCAGGGGAGCAGCGCCCCATGTCCTAGCTGGCACGGCTGGCAGTGGCCATGCATGCGTGTGGCTCAAGCTCTGGAGCATAGGGACTCCTCCTTTACACGCATTTACCCCTCTCCTCTTCCCCCTTGTCCCCTCTTTCCTCCCCTCGTTTTTGCACCCCAGGGGAGCAGCGCCCCATGTCCTGGCTGGCACGGTTGGCAGTGGCCATGCGTGTGGCTCAAGCACTGGAGCATCTGGGGCGGGAGAAGAACATGGCTGTGTATCATGACCTTAACCCTTACAAAGTGCTGCTGGATAAGGTGAGAGTCTTGTAACGAGTACAAGGTTTTTCTGCCGTAAGGCAGCCCTATTTTCCTCTCTGTGTGTGTCTCTGTCTCTAAGCGCTGGAGCATCTGGGGAGGGAGAAGGGAATGCCTGTATATCATGACCTCAACCCATACAAAGTGCTGCTGGATAAGGTGAGAGAGTCTCTTATAACGAGTACAAAGTGTTGCCCCATAAGGTGGTTATCCCTGTCTCTTTATCTCATGCTCACTCCCATTGCGTGTGCTGGAGCATCTGGGAGGAGAAGGGCATGCCTGCGTATGATGACCTCAACCCCTACAAAGTTGAAAGTGCTGCTGGATAAGGTGAGTCTTATACCGAGTACAAAGTGCTGCTGGATAAGGTGAGTCGTATACCGAGTACAAAGTGCTGCTGGATAAGGTGAGTCTTATACCGAGTACAAAGTGCTGCTGGATAAGGTGAGTCTTATACCGAGACAAAGTGCGGCTGGATAAGGTAAGAGTCTGATGTTGGTGTAACTTAAGTCACGCCCAGTTGCTTCCTCCTTTGTGTCATTGCAGGTCAACGGACCCAAGCTCTCTTCTCCTGTTGGTCGGTTTCACTTCTGAGATATCTCAAAAGTCGCATCCTGTTGCTTCCTCTCTTTTGTTACTCCAGGACAACGAACCCAAGCTGTCATGTTTCGGCCTCATCAAGCCTCTCAAGGAAGGCCGCTACAGCTCCAACCTGGACTACTTACCACCTGAGCAGCTGTTACACGGTGAGGCGTGAGGTGACTACCTACGAGTGGGGCGTGGGGTGACTGTGGCATGGTGGGGCGTGGGGTGACTGTGGCATGGTGGGGCGTGGGGTGACTGTGGCATGGTGGGGCGTGGGGTGACTGTGGCATGGTGGGGCGTGGGGTGACTGTGGCATGGTGGGGCGTGGGGTGACTGTGGCATGGTGGGGCGTGGGGTGACTGTGGCATGGTGGGGCGTGGGGTGACTGTGGCATGGTGGGGCGTGGGGTGACTGTGGCATGGTGGGGCGTGGGGTGACTGTGGCATGGTGGGGCGTGGGGTGACTGTGGCATGGTGGGGCGTGGGGTGACTGTGGCATGGTGGGGCGTGGGGTGACTGTGGCATGGTGGGGCGTGGGGTGACTGTGGCATGGTGGGGCGTGGGGTGACTGTGGCATGGTGGGGCGTGGGGTGACTGTGGCATGGTGGGGCGTGGGGTGACTGTGGCATGGTGGGGCGTGGGGTGACTGTGGCATGGTGGGGCGTGGGGTGACTGTGGCATGGTGGGGCGTGGGGTGACTGTGGCATGGTGGGGCGTGGGGTGACTGTGGCATGGTGGGGCGTGGGGTGACTGTGGCATGGTGGGGCGTGGGGTGACTGTGGCATGGTGGGGCGTGGGGTGACTGTGGCATGGTGGGGCGTGGGGTGACTGTGGCATGGTGGGGCGTGGGGTGACTGTGGCATGGTGCGGCGTGGGGTGACTGTGGCATGGTGGGGCATGGGGTGACTGTGGCATGGTGGGGCATGGGGTGACTGTGGCATGGTGGGGCGTGGGGTGACTGTGGCATGGTGGGGCATGGGGTGACTGTGGCATGGTGGGGCGTGGGGTGACTGTGGCATGGTGGGGAGTGGATGGTCGCTACAGCTCCAACCTGGACCACTTACCACCTGAGCAGCTGTTACACGGCGAGGCATGGGGTCACTACTGCATGGCGAGCAGGCGGACTGTTGAATGGTGGGGCGTGGGATGGCTGTATCATGGTTGTTTCTTGAGTTTCAACAGTCGCGTCAGTCGTTTCTACAGCTCCAATCTGGACTACTAATCACCTGAGCAGCTGTTACACGGTGAGGCATGAGAGGGGAGGGCTATCTACTCGTATTCATTTTTATGTGGCTGTTTTTTAGTCTCAAAAGTTGCCACGGTTGCTACAGCGCAAATCTAGACTACTTACCTCCTGAGCAGTTGTTACACGGTGAGGCAAGAGGTGATTTACTACTACAGCTCCAATCTGGACTACTAAGTGAGTGAGTGAGTGCAAGGCGAGTGAGTGCAAAGTGAGTGAGTGAGTGCGAGTGAGTGCAAAGTGAGTGAGTGAGTGCAAGGCGAGTGAGTGCAAACGTCCATTTTGTAACGTGTGCTGCCATTCTCCCTCAGTGCGTGTTGCATCGTGTTACACCTTATCATTCCTTGACACTCCCTGTCACTCCTTGTGATTCCGTATCACACCTTGTCATCCCTTGTCACTCCCTCCCACACCTCGTAATGTGATTGCAGGGCGAGTGACAGCAGAGAGTGTGGTGTACAGCTTCGGACTCATCCTTCTGGCCCTCTTTAGTGGCAAAAGCATTCGTCCCACACAGGTAGGTAGTAGTTTGCGTCTGTGTGTGAGCGTCGCGTCAGTTCGTTCTCCTTCTCCTTCTCCATCTTTCCCTCTCCTCCCCCCCTAGTCACACCATCTGTTTCTCTCCTATCCCTCCTCCTCGATAGAGACCTGCTCTCCCACCCCCCAAGCGTCGAGTTTACCCTAGAGCTCGTCCCCCTCATTGCCTCGTATCACTTCTTCCCCTCGTCCCCCGTTTTCCGCTCTCCCTGTTAACCGCCCTTCTTCTGCTCCTCTCCACTTCTTCCCTTCCCCTCTTTCCCTCCTCCCCAACTCTCCTCCCCCTTCTCACACCATCAGTTCCTGGAGATGGTGGAGGAGAAGCAGGATCTATCCCTCCTGCTAGACAGCAACCTCCTCTCCCACGCACCAAGCGTTGATTTCGCCCTCGAGCTCGTGCCCCTCATCCCATCACCTCCTCTTGCGCTCAATCCTCTTCTCTACTCCTCTTCTCCTCCCCTCCCCACCCCCGCTGCCTCCGCCCTCACCAGTTCCTGGAGATGGTGGAGGAGAAGCAGGATCTATCCCTCCTGCTAGACAGCAACCTCCTCTCCCACGCACCAAGCGTTGATTTCGCCCTCGAGCTCGTGCCCCTCATTGCCGAGTGCCTGAAGAAGGACCCGGGGGAGCGCCCCCCCATGGACAGCATTGCAGAGTTCCTTGGGATACTGGACGACCGCAGCAGGGTGAGTGGGGGTGCAGAGCGGTGCAATGCGGTTCTCTGTACGATTTAGAGCGGTACTAGACTAGTACATAACGAGGAGCTCGTGCCGCTGATTGCCGAGTGTCTCAAGAAAGACCCGGCGGAGCGCCCTCCCCCCCTTGGACAGCATTGCAGAGTTCCTCGGGATACTGGACGACCGCAGCAGGGTGAGTGGGGTTTCCAAACAATTTAAGGCGGTTCTGTGTGCGGTGTAGAGCGGTGCATAATGATGAGCTCGTCCCACTCGTTGCCGAGTGTCTCAAGAAGGACCCGGGGGAGCGCCCCCCCATGGACAGCATTGCAGAGTTCCTTGGGATACTGGACGACCGCAGCAGGGTGAGCGGGGGTGCAGAGCGGTGCAATGCGGTTCTCTGTGCGATTTAGAGCGGTACTAGACTAGTACATAATGATGAGCTCGTGCCGCTGATTGCCGAGTGTCGCAAGAAAGACCCGGCGGAGCGCCCCCCCCCCCATGGACAGCATTGCAGAGTTCCTCGGGATACTGGACGACCGCAGCAGGGTGAGTGGGGGTTCCAAACGGTTTAAGGCGGTTCTGTGTGCGGTGTAGAGCGGTGCATAACGATGAGCTCGTCCCACTCGTTGCCGAGTGTATCAAGAAGGATCCGGCGGATCGCCCCCCCATGGACAGCATTGCAGAGTTCCTCGGGATACTGGACGACCGCAGCAGGGTGAGTGGGGGTTCCAAACTGTTTAAGGCGGTTCTGTGTGCGGTGTAGAGCGGTGCATAACGATGAGCTCGTCCCACTCGTTGCCGAGTGTCTCAAGAAGGATCCGGCGGATCGCCCCCCCATGGACAGCATTGCAGAGTTCCTTGGGATACTGGACGACTGCAGCAGGGTGAGTGGGGGTTCAGAGTGGTGCAACACGGTTCTGTGAGCTCGTGCCGCTCCTTGCCAGCCGAGTGCCTCAAGAAAGACCCGGTGGATCGCCTCCCCCCCATGGACAGCATTGCAGAGTTCCTTGGGATACTACGACCGCAGAGTGGTGTGGAGTAACGTTGAGCGGTGCTGAGTGGTATGAGTTTTGCTGCTACTGCGCTGGCTGTGATATTGAAGTGAATGACTCTGCTCTTACCACCACCCTGTACCTCTCTGTACCTCTCTGTACTTCACTCTACCGCCTCTTCCCCATTCTCCCTGTCAGGCCATTGGGTTGGGGGTTCACTCGGCCTTGTGGGAGAGGGAGAGGAGACAGAGGGGGCCGGCTCTTCTGCTCATGCTTCTGTATCAGCGCTTCTCGTCTGTAAAATGCGAAATGACCTCCCTCTCACCACCGCTCCCTACTGCTCTGCACTGCTCCGTGCCGCATGTTCCTCATCCCCCCCTGGCAGGGCATCGGTGGTTCACTTGGCCTTGGGGGAGATGGAGAGGAGAAGGAGGGGGGCGACGCTGCTTCTCCTGCTGCTCAGTACCGCTCTGTACCGGTCCAACCTTCTCCGTGCCACCTCTTCCCCATCCCCCCCTGGCAGGGCATCGGTGGTTCACTTGGCCTTGGGGGAGATGGAGAGGAGAAGGAGGGGGGCGACGCTGCTTCTCCTGCTGCTCAGTACCGCTCTGTACCGGTCCAACCTTCTCCGTGCCACCTCTTCCCCATCCCCCCCTGGCAGGGCATCGGTGGTTCACTTGGCCTTGGGGGAGATGGAGAGGAGAAGGAGGGGGGCGACGCTGCTTCTCCTGCTGCTCAGTACCGCTCTGTACCGGTCCAACCTTCTCCGTGCCACCTCTTCCCCATCCCCCCCTGGCAGGGCATCGGTGGTTCACTTGGCCTTGGGGGAGATGGAGAGGAGAAGGAGGGGGGCGACGCTGCTTCTCCTGCTGCTCAGTACCGCTCTGTACCGGTCCAACCTTCTCCGTGCCACCTCTTCCCCATCCCCCCCTGGCAGGGCATCGGTGGTTCACTTGGCCTTGGGGGAGATGGAGAGGAGAAGGAGGGGGGCGACGCTGCTTCTCCTGCTGCTCAGTACCGCTCTGTACCGGTCCAACCTTCTCCGTGCCACCTCTTCCCCATCCCCCCCTGGCAGGGCATCGGTGGTTCACTTGGCCTTGGGGGAGATGGAGAGGAGAAGGAGGGGGGCGACGCTGCTTCTCCTGCTGCTCAGTACCGCTCTGTACCGGTCCAACCTTCTCCGTGCCACCTCTTCCCCATCCCCCCCTGGCAGGGCATCGGTGGTTCACTTGGCCTTGGGGGAGATGGAGAGGAGAAGGAGGGGGGCGACGCTGCTTCTCCTGCTGCTCAGTACCGCTCTGTACCGGTCCAACCTTCTCCGTGCCACCTCTTCCCCATCCCCCCCTGGCAGGGCATCGGTGGTTCACTTGGCCTTGGGGGAGATGGAGAGGAGAAGGAGGGGGGCGACGCTGCTTCTCCTGCTGCTCAGTACCGCTCTGTACCGGTCCAACCTTCTCCGTGCCACCTCTTCCCCATCCCCCCCTGGCAGGGCATCGGTGGTTCACTTGGCCTTGGGGGAGATGGAGAGGAGAAGGAGGGGGGCGACGCTGCTTCTCCTGCTGCTCAGTACCGCTCTGTACCGGTCCAACCTTCTCCGTGCCACCTCTTCCCCATCCCCCCCTGGCAGGGCATCGGTGGTTCACTTGGCCTTGGGGGAGATGGAGAGGAGAAGGAGGGGGGCGACGCTGCTTCTCCTGCTGCTCAGTACCGCTCTGTACCGGTCCAACCTTCTCCGTGCCACCTCTTCCCCATCCCCCCCTGGCAGGGCATCGGTGGTTCACTTGGCCTTGGGGGAGATGGAGAGGAGAAGGAGGGGGGCGACGCTGCTTCTCCTGCTGCTCAGTACCGCTCTGTACCGGTCCAACCTTCTCCGTGCCACCTCTTCCCCATCCCCCCCTGGCAGGGCATCGGTGGTTCACTTGGCCTTGTGGGAGATGGAGAGGAGAAGGAGGGGGGTGACGCTCCTTCTCCTGCTGCTCAGTACCGCTCTGTACCGGTCCAACCTTCTCCGTGCCACCTCTTCCCCATCCCCCCCTGGCAGGGCATCGGTGGTTCACTTGGCCTTGGGGGAGATGGAGAGGAGAAGGAGGGGGGCGACGCTGCTTCTCCTGCTGCTCAGTACCGCTCTGTACCGGTCCAACCTTCTCCGTGCCACCTCTTCCCCATCCCCCCCTGGCAGGGCATCGGTGGTTCACTTGGCCTTGGGGGAGATGGAGAGGAGAAGGAGGGGGGCGACGCTGCTTCTCCTGCTGCTCAGTACCGCTCTGTACCGGTCCAACCTTCTCCGTGCCACCTCTTCCCCATCCCCCCCTGGCAGGGCATCGGTGGTTCACTTGGCCTTGGGGGAGATGGAGAGGAGAAGGAGGGGGGCGACGCTGCTTCTCCTGCTGCTCAGTACCGCTCTGTACCGGTCCAACCTTCTCCGTGCCACCTCTTCCCCATCCCCCCCTGGCAGGGCATCGGTGGTTCACTTGGCCTTGGGGGAGATGGAGAGGAGAAGGAGGGGGGCGACGCTGCTTCTCCTGCTGCTCAGTACCGCTCTGTACCGGTCCAACCTTCTCCGTGCCACCTCTTCCCCATCCCCCCCTGGCAGGGCATCGGTGGTTCACTTGGCCTTGTGGGAGATGGAGAGGAGAAGGAGGGGGGTGACGCTCCTTCTCCTGCTGCTCAGTACCGCTCTGTACCGGTCCAACCTTCTCCGTGCCACCTCTTCCCCATCCCCCCCTGGCAGGGCATCGGTGGTTCACTTGGCCTTGGGGGAGATGGAGAGGAGAAGGAGGGGGGCGACGCTGCTTCTCCTGCTGCTCAGTACCGCTCTGTACCGGTCCAACCTTCTCCGTGCCACCTCTTCCCCATCCCCCCCTGGCAGGGCATCGGTGGTTCACTTGGCCTTGGGGGAGATGGAGAGGAGAAGGAGGGGGGCGACGCTGCTTCTCCTGCTGCTCAGTACCGCTCTGTACCGGTCCAACCTTCTCCGTGCCACCTCTTCCCCATCCCCCCCTGGCAGGGCATCGGTGGTTCACTTGGCCTTGGGGGAGATGGAGAGGAGAAGGAGGGGGGCGACGCTGCTTCTCCTGCTGCTCAGTACCGCTCTGTACCGGTCCAACCTTCTCCGTGCCACCTCTTCCCCATCCCCCCCTGGCAGGGCATCGGTGGTTCACTTGGCCTTGGGGGAGATGGAGAGGAGAAGGAGGGGGGCGACGCTGCTTCTCCTGCTGCTCAGTACCGCTCTGTACCGGTCCAACCTTCTCCGTGCCACCTCTTCCCCATCCCCCCCTGGCAGGGCATCGGTGGTTCACTTGGCCTTGGGGGAGATGGAGAGGAGAAGGAGGGGGGCGACGCTGCTTCTCCTGCTGCTCAGTACCGCTCTGTACCGGTCCAACCTTCTCCGTGCCACCTCTTCCCCATCCCCCCCTGGCAGGGCATCGGTGGTTCACTTGGCCTTGGGGGAGATGGAGAGGAGAAGGAGGGGGGCGACGCTGCTTCTCCTGCTGCTCAGTACCGCTCTGTACCGGTCCAACCTTCTCCGTGCCACCTCTTCCCCATCCCCCCCTGGCAGGGCATCGGTGGTTCACTTGGCCTTGGGGGAGATGGAGAGGAGAAGGAGGGGGGCGACGCTGCTTCTCCTGCTGCTCAGTACCGCTCTGTACCGGTCCAACCTTCTCCGTGCCACCTCTTCCCCATCCCCCCCTGGCAGGGCATCGGTGGTTCACTTGGCCTTGGGGGAGATGGAGAGGAGAAGGAGGGGGGCGACGCTGCTTCTCCTGCTGCTCAGTACCGCTCTGTACCGGTCCAACCTTCTCCGTGCCACCTCTTCCCCATCCCCCCCTGGCAGGGCATCGGTGGTTCACTTGGCCTTGGGGGAGATGGAGAGGAGAAGGAGGGGGGCGACGCTGCTTCTCCTGCTGCTCAGTACCGCTCTGTACCGGTCCAACCTTCTCCGTGCCACCTCTTCCCCATCCCCCCCTGGCAGGGCATCGGTGGTTCACTTGGCCTTGGGGGAGATGGAGAGGAGAA